GCCCTATTCTTTTGTTCTGAGCAAATTCTCATTCTGGTAAGTGTATTTCCTCTTTCAGCCCCCCTCCCCTCCACCCAAGTTCACTTTATATATTTCTTTCTGCCCAAAGTGCTTTTTCCATAGCAGACTGCTGTTGTATTCCATGCTATAGATATTTGAATTACACTGTTGTGGAATAAATTCATGTAAAAACGATTGGATTGGCTCTTGGTCATGACTTCCAAGAGGTCACTGTTAGCTTCATTTGGTCGATATTAATGAGGGTTTTCCTCAGAAAAACCTGTAGTGCCAAAATGAAAAATCACCATCAGAATTTACTCATTTGAATGAAATTTCTCTTGGAACAGACCAAATTTGGAAAGAGCAGCATTTCCTGTGATGTTATTAATTGTGTTTAGGCTTGTATGTTCTGTAAAACTTTTGTGTTTTCAAAGGAGATATTTAAGTGACCTTCAAGACATACCATCGTGAGAGTTATTACTTGTTAATGTACCATTCTGGTTTACAGGCATTTAAAATTGCTTTAAAAACGTGCAACAAATGAAGGCTTTGTGTCGCAGGAAAATCCAAGGAAGGCTGCACACGGGCTATCGGCAGCCCTCTGTAATAGAAATGCTCCGTAGGTAAACAGCCAGGAAATCAGAGTGGAATGCATAGTACCAACCGAGCATATATATACACACACCCCTTCTACATTTCAGTGTTTTCATTTTGATCATTCAGGATATGTCAATGGAGGTTTTTAGAAAGCATTTGGACAGAAACAATGCAATGAATTATTAAAACCCCATTAGGACCTATTTTCTGTTATAGTGTAGTAGCAATCAGCATAATTTTTCATGGCTGTTCTTTACAATGAACTTTTTGGGTACACGTATTCTTTATTATTATAATAAAGTTAGAGAAATTAAGCCTGCTATCTAATAACAGCAATCTTTGGTTCATTCTTAATTCCAGTTTCTGGGTTTCATATGCACCGAGTAGCTGCTAGATGTTTGGCAAAATGATAACATGCCCCCAGGTTCTAAGCTAAATACCCAAGGTAGAAAAAACATGAAAAGAGAAACAGATAAAAGATTACAGTAAACAGGAAGAGATACATGTAAGTTTAAGTAAGAAATCAGAACAATTTTTTTTATGAATTTCTGTATCCAGTATTTCCAGTACAGCATCACCCGTGAATTCCAGCTTCATTTTGGGGAATATCTGTCACAAACTGTAGGGCTAAGAATGGCTATGGTGTTTAGGTTTCTGCCACTTTTATGTAGCAAACCTACAGTAATGTGTGTGGAGAAAAGGACATAATGCAATTTGCAATTGTAATGAGGATTAAACAGAAGAAAAGATTATAAGAGAAAAATGCAGAATAGCTTCAAAGCCAGCATGAGTTACTTGTTATAGTCATTTTGAAAGAATATCGTAACAAAATATGTCTGTTGTCACTGCAAGAAAGTTTTATTGCCTGAAGGTTATCAATAAGTTAACTTGCAGATACCATTCTAAGTTACTAGAAGCAAAACTGAGGGTTTTTTTAAAGTAAAGTTTTGGTGATTTATTGCATACATTATTAAGAGCTGAAAGATCTATTTTGTTTCCATTTATTTTCCAAATATGGACTTGGTTGTAAAACTACAAGCATGGAATTCTGCCTGAATTTAATCTTTATTTTCATGCTAATTTTCATTTTTGAGTTGGAGTACATGCTTTTCTTCTGTAGTCCTCTGGAAAATTTTGTGTTGCAAGTAATTTTTATATTCTTTGTACTTACCATTAGAATCTGTTTAAAAAATAGAAGAAAGTAAAAATCCATCAAAGCCATAGTACACTTTCATTGAAATAATGCTGTATAAGTATATGGAGTAACCTGTTTCAGCTCATTTCTTATTTTAAAAGTATCGTGGGGAAAAAAGGAGAAAAGAAAAAGTATTACAATGTATGCTTTTATTGTCTAAAGTAGATCTTGAGGTACTGTAGTTGCATATAAATTTTACCATTTATATGTGTGCTCATTACAGTGGTACAGATAAGAAAGTTCGCCTTAAACTCTTTCCTGTAAGTGTCAGTACTTTGCACTACTTAAAAAGAAATTTGAAGTACATTTAATATCACAACACTTTTAGATCCAGATACTGTCCTTAGTTTCTTGTGTATTACTGCTCGATATGTAGTATGTGAAATACTGCAGCATCAGACTGCAGATAGCTTTGAAGTCTTTAATTTGATGCGGAAGGCAAAAGTGAATCAGGAGCGATACGCCCTTGTGAATCATTGTTTTTTGACAGGTAGTTGTCGGTTTAGTGCTGCATTCTTTTTGGTTCACATTCGTTTTTAATTACCGTAATCATTCTTTGGTAATGATATAGATCAATATAACTACATCTGCCAGGATGAAGTGTAAGCCCTGGCTTGGAATCAACTTTATTGTCTTCCAGGCAAGATTAAGTTTCCCCAGTTGTCTGGTGCAACCTCACTGAAAGGTGATTTTCCCTATCAGTTACCTGAGGGATATGTTCCTATTCTGATTGTTTCAGTTCTTTTCAGTGGTGGATAAGTATACACATTGTAAGTCTGTGTTTTTTCATAACCTCATCTGTGTGCAGCAAAAGTAACACATTCAGAGCTTTAACACATCAAAACAAACAGCATTTGAAAATGTTATATGAAGCACAGAGTCTTTGGAGACAGCTAGTGCCCTGAAGTCTACTTTATACAAAAGAGATTAACACCATTATTCTATGTATAATCTCTCCAGCAAAACACTGTCGCCTATTTCTGTCAACAAATGGTTTCTTTGCTTTGGCAGCTGAAAGAAATTTTAGTTGTGTAGGCAACAGAACATGCCTTTGTAAGTTGCAGAACCCAATTTTAAAAATATTTTGGAAGGTAACTGCAGTTTTGACTAGTTAAATTATTTTCATTAACTAAATATTTTTTTAGCGAGCTAAAAAGACTAATTATGTCTGCTACATGTGACACAGTCATAATCCATGCATAAGGCATACTGACTATTTTACAGTGCACCTTTTGGAAAGGTGAGTCATATGCACATCCCACTGTTCCTTGCAGACACTTACCTGATTAAAAGGGCTGCACATATCCAGATAACGTGCACTCTAAAAGTACATTTTCTTTCTGAATAAAGGTGGAGACAAGCAGTGTTCTTACTGAGAGTCTACGAGTCCATAAAACTGTTGTATACCAAGGAAAAGAAGATAAAGAGGCTCAAGTAAAGTGTTAATATTTCTAGAGGCTTCAGACCAAATAAATTTTGGAAAATTTGCGGGGGGAGATAGATACCACAGCATTTCACTGTGTAATGAATCACAGAAGTCATATTTCTAATGGAACTGAGTTATCTAAATCATAGCCAACATGTGAAAGACTTTTTTTTTATGTTAATAAATATGTCAGTGCTCTCTTTCAAATCATTGAATTACATTACTAGTTAATAAATTATATTTTTGAATAAAATTTTACTGTTTTCCCCAAGAAATTTTTAATACAAAAATTAAAGCTGAGAAATATGTACTTTAATAAATATTGCATTGTATTTGATTTTCTGGTTTGTGGCAAAAAATAAATAAGAGGTAAATAGTTTGCCAGATTTTGAATTTAGTAGCTGAATCAAAGCTTCTGCTATTCTCAATTTCTTTACCTGGATGAAAGAATTACATCATCATTCACAACTTCTGTTTGTAGAGGGTGAGGTACTTCATGGGAGGAGGGCATTTGAACCCTCCTCACTTATATGGCAGGATAAATGCAGGTCTTAGGGCAGAAGTGGACACGCGTGCAGATTGCTGTGCCGGGAGCCGCTTCCCTCCATGGTTACATGGCTGGGCACGTATGTGTCCTGTGGTGAGGGTGCCGGTGCCTCTGACATGTGGCGTGCACAGACTGTGTAAACAGTTTCTTATCATTTGACTGAGCATATGTGTGCTCGCATCGTAGGACTGGATGCGATTTCTGCCATGTTGATAGATAGCTGTATTTTTTTTATATGTGGGGAAGGATGGCAACAAGAAACAAGCCATTAATCACAAAAACCAGTCATTAAGCCATCAGCTTATTTCTTATGCACATTTAAGGACTGATGGGGAACAACCTCATGAAAATTGTCTCAGCACCTGTCCTGGTAACAGTTATAATGACCTTTCCCTATGTTAATTTTTAGTTTGGTAGTTTATACTTTGTAATTACAAAGCACAGATCATTGAAACAAATTATTAATGTAAATCAGTAAGTCAGCATACAGGAATGCAAAGACTCATGTCTCTCCTTGTATACAAAATGAAAAGATTTCTTCCAGATTCTTGCTTTGATCATTAGACTCTTTTAAATAAGCAAACATTACTTAGTTGCTAAGCCACAGACTGAAGCTCATTAGTGTGTTAGCACAAATATTGGAAAAAGAGTACTAAACCAATATTAGATAGAGGACCTGTGCGTAGACTGGAAGTAATGCAGTGAACGTGACACCAGAACATTTTGAAAGATTGCTCACAGTGATTAAAACCATTTCTGTTTGCAAAAACCCGCCCCACTCAGCACAAAAAAGTGCAAACCCTGAGTAGGTCTGTTTTTCTGCTACTAATATCTGTAAGACTTTACTGAAAGTACAGTAGATATAATAGTCTTATGAATAAATTTGTGTATATTCTTTATTTTAAACGTTGACCAGATGTATTGGTGTGGCATTTTTTTATCTAATGGTGATCCTTGAAACTGGTTTTCATTAGAATGCTTTTAACCATAGATTGAAAGCCAGAATGCCATCTTATTAATAGCCTGTTTGGGAACCCTACTCAAAATCTTTACAAATCCGTTTTTGATTCATAGATATTTCAGGTTTAATGCATAAATGCAGTGCTTTAACACAGTGCCTTTTTGCAGAGGCTGTTGAACTTTACAAGAAGTCATGCTAGTTTGGAATTTTTTGATGTTCAGTTTATTATCTTAAGCAAATGAACTAACAGTTCATGCTTTTGCATTCTTCACAGGTCTTCAATACAGTGAGAGAAGAAGAAGGAGCAGAAGATACTTTTGAATATTTTCCTCATCTTCTGAGAAAGATCCCGACATTTGATACACGCTGTGTATGCAAAGGTGATGGTTTTTGTGTAAAACCATGTGTAACAGGTGCTTACTGTCAATATCGTGCCACTTTACAGAGGACTGCACTCTCTAACTATATAACTGGTGCTTTACTAGAAGCAACTACATCATTAGGAGCAAGAAGTGGTCTTTTAAATATCTTCGGAGGATCAACTGGAAGAACAATGCTTAAAGGTAATGAAGATTTAATTTTTTGAACCCTGTCCACTTTAAGTATAGGGTGTATTGCAAAATATATAATACTATATAATATTCTGTAGTTTATATACTCATATGCAGTTAACAGATAAAAAATGTTTTCATGTTTTCAAATATTTTCCTTTGCAATCATTATGTGCCATAATGACTAGCTATGTTAGTTTAATAGAGTAAAAATGCATGCAAAACTGAAAAGATTCTTATTACAAAACATACCTTTTCAGTTTTGCTTTTTTCTTTTTAGAAACATTCCTGTCTGCATTCAAAGTTAATGCCTGAGGCATTGCTATTAGGGTGTTCCTTTGTATAGTATTTCTCACTTACCAAGTGCTCCTGCTCATGGGCTGGCTTGGTTCAGAACTTGAGAAAGGAGAATATACTCCACTCAGTTATTATTGTTGTCATTATACAACTAGCTGTCAGCATAGCACTGTGCAGTAAGTATGTACAATTCGTTACTGATCTATTGTTGGTCTTCTCCCAGATCCATCGTCTTTCTAATATTGGATCATTTCAAATAATGTGGGTATTGTCTATGTGGAAAATGCCTCTTGGAGGATGGAAGTTACATACTAACTTTCTGTGCTGATCATCTTCGTATGCAATAAGAATACCATTACGTGATGTAGTTTGGTCAGTTTTGGAAGTTAAACAGGACAAAAGCATTCTTGGTACAAATCATTGCATTAAAACAGGGTTTTGTACAGAATAGTGACTGCATTTTAAATTCATTTTTAATTAATGCCTAGAATATTTCCTAAGGTATTCAAGCATTTGGGGATTTACCATAATCTGATGTACTGTAACAAAAAGGTGTAGTATCTCAGTTGTACAATTGAAGCTTGTGGATATCATGGCTTGCCCAAAATTTTACAGGAATATGACAAAATGAGTACAGAATTCTCAGTGCAGTTCCTTAGCTAGTGCAGATACTGACCTCATTTTTACAGACAAATAATGACATAGTTTGTGCTTGGATCAGGTGGTTTTATTTTTATCCCAAAAAGTGGCCCTATCGAGTTTTAGTTAGTCTCTCTTTAGGTGAATCAAATGGCAGAGAGAGGCACTAAAATGGTATAAGAACAGGTACAGATGGCAAACTGTAGCATCTGAGTGAATTTCAGTAGTACGTTGAGTAACATTACTAAGCTTCACATACCCTCATCTTCTGTGAGAGACAGAGATATGTACAGTACAGTGTCCTATTTTGGTAGAGTATTTCCTTTTTATTTTGTTTGGGTTTTATTTGTTGTGCGGAGTTGAGTGCTTTAGAAGAATAAACACGTACATTCCTGTGACAGCTCTGGAAAGCAAGGTTAAAAGAACTGAGTCATGTACTTGGTGGTGCAGTGTGGTGGACCTTCTTCCTACAGAGCGGGAGAAGAGAGCACAGGGTTTTGATGCCCCAGACCTGATGGAGACTTTAAGAATGCTCTGTCCCCTGAGTGCAAATGTCAGCCTCCCATGGGGCATGTTGCTGCGGTGCCTGAAAAGCCCAGCTGGTGACTGTCACCGTAGAGCTGCAGGCTCCAACTGAGTTCTGAAACTGGAAGCAGCAGCAGTAATTAGCTCAGGCTCACTGACATGCTAATATGGCTGTATCTTTTTATAGAGTCTGAGCTAGTGACTGCACATGTGTGCTCTGTGTACCAGCACACTTTGCACTAGTTTGGTGATCTCTGCGGTGCCTGTATTGTATGGTGTATGTTTCTGTTGTTGTATTCTGAGACCAAGCAAGTGAGACCTTAAAAGAAAAGGCAAAGGTCTTTAATTTGATTTGCAGTTCTACAGACGACCTGTGTAGATAGTAGAGAGTTTATTTACTGTAGTGGTCTAGGTATGACTTACTGTAGTGGTCTCTGTTGAGGAAGAGATGTGCTGCAGCTTTAGGATATTGAAGTTTTCTGGATGTGGAAGGTTCATGTTCAGGTATATCACGGTGATATAATGTATCTGAGAAATTACAAAGGTAGCAGTAACAGAGTCCTCTCTAAAAACACATACAGAGTGTTACTTGGCAATGTTATTAACTGAGACAGTAGCATAAGCAAGGAACCCAGCAGTATTCTGAATTTAGAGGTATGGTTATCATTATGAGTGTGTACCTTTTAAGAAAGAAAATTGTCCTGTCCATGCAGATTGATTAAAATATTATTTTCATCTCTCCAACATCCTCTCTTACTGCTGGATTTAACTTCAACCATAAGCTAATCTCATCTAAACCTGACAACTTTTAATTGACATTGGTAACAACTCTGTTGTCAAATGCAATGGAGGATTTATCACAGGATACAGCATGTCATTGGAACTTCGCTTAGTGTTTGTTTGGAGGTGTTGAAAAGGGAATGTATTGATCCTGATGTGGTTTAATAGTTGTTATGGTTTAACCCTGGTAGACAGCTAAGCACCACGCTGCACTCACTCCCCCTCAAGATGGGATGGAAAGAGAATTGGAAGGGTTAAAGTGCAAAAATTCATGGATTGAGATGAAGACAGTTTAATAGATAAAGCAATAGCCATGTGTGCAAGCAAAGCAAAATAAAGAATTCATTCACTACTTCACGTCAACAGGCAGATGTTTAGCCCTTTCCAGGAAAGCAGGGCTTCATCACATGTAATGGTTGCTTGGGAAGACAAACACCGTAACTCCGAAAGTCCCTCGTTCCTCCTTCCCCCTTTCCCTCAGCTTTTATTGCTGAGCACGATGTCATATGGTATGGGATATCCCTTTGGTCAGCTGGGGTCAGCTCTCCTGTCTGCGTCCCCTCCCAACTTCTGTGCACCCCCAGCCTGCTCGCTGGTGGGGCCCATGAGAAACAGAAGAGGCCTGCTGCTGTGTAAGCACTGTCCAGCAATAACTAAAACATCCCTGTGTTATCAACACTGTTTTGGTCACAAATCCAAAACATAGCACCATGTGAGCTACTATGAAGAAAATTAACTCTGACCGAGCCAAAACTGGTACAATAGTGAAGGTGATATTTCCATCAGCACTTGTGGTTTGTAGCCCTCCAGAAACAGTTCAAAGTGTTGCACATTTCATCAGGGCCCTACCAACCTTTCTCAGACAAGACAGCAGTATATCTAAGTTAAGAGTATCATATATTGCAGAGAGACCAGGGAGATGAAAACAAATATTTGCTTTGACAGTCAGAGGTTGTGAGTGCCCATGTCGTAATTCCAGTGCTGTGCACTGCCCTGAGTTAGTATCAGCAACCGGAAATAAGCATTCTACCTTTTAGGTTGGGTTTCTTCATGTTGCTCAGCCTGTTGATGAATGGAGGGAAGAACCCTTCTCTGATTTTTGTTTCTACTGTTTTGATCAAGAACAGCAAATGTTTCTGGTTACTGTGCTTGACAAGCTGTGACAGGACAGGTTTTCAAGTGTTGGCTTGCTTCCACAAAAACTTGAAGCATTAGTTCTCAGGTCTTTGTCTTGCATTTATTTATTTTTTAATTTTTGTATTAGAACCTGTCTTACAGTTTTTCCTTTAAAATTGTACTTGAAAAAGGATTTGCAACGTAGGAAGATGTCATAGTACAGTCAAAGGTCCAAGCATAAAGGTCCCGATGGAAGTACAGGACAGCACCGATCTGATGTTTGTTTCTTTCAGAAAGAAAGAAATTATAGACGTCTGGTTTGTGCAGGATAGTGCAGTGTAGAGACACAACCTGTTGCTGACTCATTCAGATCTGAACTGGAGTGTTCTCATGATGCAGGGAAATCCCCTATAGTGGTTGGTTTGAAAACAATATAGGCAGCCCCAGTTAATAATCCTTCAAAATACTGGTGATGGCACTAGCTGAGATGATGGTATTTTGAGCATCGTTGCACCATACTTCACT